GATTCAAGGAGGAGGGTGACCCATTGGAAGAGAGCCAGAGATGAGCCGTGCAAAAACCCGGCTTAGGGTGACCCCACCCAGGAGCCCAATCCGTGTAGCGTCGCCAAGAGACGCCCAAGGGGTGACTTGCTCCCTGGGTGCTGCCGCCCCCAGACCGATTGCCCCCAGCACCGCCTGACCTGGCCGACGGCCCGTCAAGGGTCATCAGTGGGACAACGCACCCATGGAAAGGAGCCCGGAGAGCCACCTGATGGATCCACCAACGTGGCTGGCCCTTTTGGGGTCAGAAGAACATATTTGTAAAATGAGAAGAGGTTTTAAGTAACTTCTCACTGCACTGGACCTAGGTGCTGACTGGGAGCCAGAGAACTCGAGTGCAATAAAGGGGGCTGTGGGATTTCTTTTTTTTTGGCTTCTCGATAACCAGCATCGGGGACCAGGAGCACAGTCTGTGCCTGGTTGCGGAGTCTAACTTCAGTGTTAACCACCAGTTTGGGGGAGCATCTGATCTCCCTTTTGCAGCCTGCCCGGACCTTGGCATTTCCCCGGGCCACACGAGCCAGGAGAAATACCCCAGGATTAGAAAACCCGGTTTACGGCGATCCGATCCAGGAGCCTGATCCATGTAGTGTCACAAAGAGACGGCCAAGGGGTGACTGGATCCCTGTCTATAGATCTAACGTAGACAATATTTTTACTTCAAGGTCCCAGAGACACAGACAAGGTTTTCATCTCGAGGCCAAAAGATCAACAACATCAAGACACTTGATAGAATTAGAATTTAAGGGTTGGAAGGGACCTCAGGAGGTATCTAGTCCAACCCCCTGCTCAAAGCAGGACCAATCCCCAGACATATTTTTGCCCCAAATCCCTAAATGGCCCCCTCAAGGATTGAACTCACAACCCTGGGTTTAGCAGGCCAATGCTTGATCACGGCCCTGGATAGGCCAGGCTAGCAGAGGAAGGTCTAACATCATCCAACGGCTGGAAGATGAAGCTAGACCAATTCAGATGGGAAAGAACGTGCAATTTTTTTAAGAGTAATTAACGATGACCTCTGGTTAAAAAAAAATTGGATGCCTGATTGCCTGTCTGAACCTGTCTAGCTTCAATATCCGGCCCTTGGCTTTTGTTAGATGGAAGAGTCTAAATCAAATCTCCGTTCCCCCCTGTAGACCGGGTCAAATCAGCCCTTCACCTTCTCTCTGTGAAGCTAAACCCATCTCTCAATCAAAGCCACATTTTCAAATCTTTGAATCGTTCCAGTAGCTCTTCTCTGAACCCTCCCCGGTTTATCACCAACGTCAGACGCGCCGGTGGCCACCCTCCTGGCTGGTCTACCGGCACAAGTTCTTTGTCTCCTGGGCCTCTCGGACCAGTTAAACCGGTCTATGCAAACGTCCCCAGACTCGTTGGGTGCCTTGGGGATTTGCGTTAATTACTTCTCCGGTGTTTCTCCCTTCTGCTCTGAGTACAGGAAACACAACCCGTAGCTCACGAAGAGTCTCAGACGATTTATAAAGTCGATACAATCGGCGTGGAGTATTCCATCGTTCTCCAAAGCGTCACATCTACCACACCTGACTTTCACTTCACAGATTTCAGAGTAAGTGCCGTGTTAGTCTGTATCCGCAAAAAGAAGAACAGGAGTACTTGTGGCACCTTAGAGACTAACAAATTTATTAGAGCATAAGCTTTCGTGGACTACAGCCCACTTCTTCGGATGCATATAGAATGGAACATATATTGAGGAGATATATATACACACATACAGAGAGCATGAACAGGTGGGAGTTGTCTTACCACCTCTGAGAGGCCAATTAATTAAGAGAAAAGTTTTTCACTTCTGCACTGCTAATAAACTCTGCGTTATTTCCCCCATATTTAGCTTTAATGTGAGTTTTAAGGTC